GGTGCATGGAAGACACACTCCGAGCTGGGACGTGGGAGACGCGGAGAGGGCCTGAAGAAGGCACCGCCACGTTCCGGTGCGTTTCTCAGTGCGAGTTACTGAGCCTGGGACGGGCATCAACCCGTTAAACGCCAATGAGTCCTGTGAGGTAGGAACTTCCACCACTCGCCTTTAATCGGAGAGGAAGCTGAGACAGAGCCTAAGTCATCTGCCAGAGGTCACCAGGGCGCAGCAGCAGGCAGTGGGGGCGCGGAACCCGCATTCTTCAGTGCACCATGGGGTCCCGTCCCGGCCTGGTGACCTGGGGACGGTGGCGTCACCGCTGAGCCAGGGAAGGCAGGAGGAGATGGCGTGTGCGTGGAGGGGAAGGGGCCAGACGAGGTGGTGTTGTGGACATGTGTGGAGTGTAGGTGTCCAACAGCACCTCGCCTGCAGGCGCCGGACAGGCTTCCCCACCCGTGTGGAGAGGGAGCCAGTGTTCATTAAAAACGGAAACATCTGAAAGAGCTCTGTTGGTGAGTCCCAGCTCCACTGTTCTGGGGAGGCCGGCTGTGCTGACACACAGGAGGGCCAAGTCCTCTGGAGGTCAGGCCAGTGCTGTGGAAGGTGCATGTCACCCAGGGCCGCAGACCCCAGGCACTCAGTGCCACATGGAGACGCCTAGAGAAGGCCAGGACAACCCTGGACAAAAGGAGGGAATGAATGTCCCCAAGGCTCCCTCTGCATCTTTTCAATTGCAGAGGGCACATCCACTCCCCTGGGAGAGGGACGGAGAGAAATCGCCCCCCACGGGGGCGTATTCATGCCATAACCCCCTTCCCCCAAGACTGTGTCCTGACAGGATCTTGGGCACACGGGTACATGTGCCTGGCATGCTTTTCATGCCACCGGGTTTGGACTGGAGCCACCGTCAGGCACGTGGGCGTCAGTTTCTAGAAACAGCACTTACCCCGTGCTCCGCACTGGTCTCCCCTCCGCATTGTAAGGAACCAGCACCCTCAAAGCTGCCTGCTCACAGGAGCCAATGGAGGGCATTAGAAACACTCATGCCCAGGCCTCACCCAGGACCAGTTAGACACCTCGGTGGGCCACAGGCTGTTCCAGAAGCTCTCTGTGTGATTCTAATGCCAGGCCTGAGTAAATTACCATAGCAAAAGAAAGGAGGGGCCCAGCAGATGGCGTGTTGTTAAGGCAGCTGGGTCCCACATAGCTGACTGCTAGGTTCAAGTCTCAGACCTAGCAGCTTGAAAAACACGCAAGATGTGTGTGCATGCCCCAAATCCCGAGAGGAGAATGGAGAAGGGACCATCACTTTTCTCACCTTCCCTCTGTCTCTAGTGACTGCAGGCATCATATCAAAAGGGAAGCTCGGAGAGCAGGTAAGTGAAGGCTAACACCCACAGAGCACTTTTCTGCACACGAACCACTTGCACACAAGTGGCCTTAGGGAAGGAACGCATACCAATTTCAGGGGTATCCACTGGTCGGATGGGGAACCCACGGACCAAACAGACATGACTTGTTCACAGCTAACGGTCGCTTGCCAGAAATGCCATGCCTCGGGGCTGCTGACCCCAGATCAGGGTTCCTCGTGGGCAGTGTGTGTGTGCACGTGTGCCACGTGTTCCTCTTTGGCAGGACCTTGCTGTGTTGCAATCATCCTGCCTCAGCCTCCTCCACACTGATTTCAGGGAGGACTGGGAATCAAACCTGGCCCCCGTGAAGCCCAAGCCTGCGGAGCAGTGTCATCCAGTGAGGGCTAGCGCCGGCCGGCCTCATTCTTTCCAGAGTCACTCCGGGCAATGCCCCAGACAGATCTGCACCCCCACAGAAAACTTAGGGTGCAGTTCTTTTTACATTGTTTTCAGGTTTTTGCCATAGGATGTGTCCACCCATCAGAGAGAGACAGAGAAAGGCAGAGAATGGGGAAGATGAGAAGTCATCCCCCAGAGAAATGGTCCTGCCACAATCCTTCTCTTCTCCTCCTGCCATTTTGGGCAATCACACACACACATACACAGTCTTGCTCTCAAGCCACTGAGTCGGGGACTCGAACCACAGTTAGCCACGTGGGGTTCCAGCACCTTAACTACCACACCACCTGCTGGCCTTGAGGGTGCAGCAATTTTGAAAGTACCTATGCTCCTGTTTGTTTATATAAAGACCAAGCTGCGGCTTGTGTGCTGGAGCCTAACCGGGCTTAATGTTAAATGTGACCGGCCACGAAGAGCTAGCAAGGTCCAGATGGCCTGGAGGTCAAGGGGCAGGCGGGGCGGCTGCGGGAGGGCCCAGAGGGGACAATGGGAGCAGACCACAGGGAGGGATGCAGAGGGCCAGGGCACTGCCCAGGGTCAGGAGGCCTGGCAGCCTCGGCTCCAGACAGAAACCAAATCCGAAAAGCTCCAGGAGGCGTTTCCTAATAGGATTTCCGGGCCTCAAGGGAGGCACCGTCTTAACCACCTGGATGATAATCATCTGCTAATTTGTACAGAGCAGGATAATTTAAAAGACACGTTCTCTTCTTCCCTTTCACAATTGATTGAGGTGAGTGTTATTTTCCTACCTCCGTGGCTGCAGGCGTCAAACTGGTACAACAGCGCCTTGTAGAAACACCGGGAGGGCGCGTGGAGCCATGTGTCCGACCAAACACCTAGCAGTTAGGAGGTGCTGAACAGTATCAGCCCCATCTGTGGTTGCTTCTTTGGGAACAGGATGGTAAGCTTCGGAAATGTGCTGGTGAAGACGGGCTGCAGAGTCACGCCGGGGCAAGCTCAGCTTCGGCAACCCAGCGGCTAAACCCTGGACACATTAATTACGGGCGGCTTAGAGAGGGCTGTTCCTCAAGATTCACGTGCTGGAAGCTTGGTCTCCGATGCGCTGGTGCTGAGAGGGACCAGGGCCTGGTGGGCAGGGTTAGGCTCTGAGAGGCACTGCCCTAATGGGTCGATTAAAACTTTCTTGGGGCCAGCAGGTGGCATAGAGGTTATGGCTCTCAACTCCGACATGGCTGACCACAGTTCAAGTACCAGACCCAGGAGCTTGAAAACCGCACTGGGTGTATGTGCACGCATGCCCAAAATCCTAGGAGGAGAAGCGAGGAAAACGGATTGTGGTATGGCCATCCCCTTGTTTTTTTTCTTTGTTGTTTTTTTTTTTTTTTTTTTTTTTTTGAAGAGGTTTTTTGCTATAGGGTGCATGTGATCACCAGAGATGACAGAGAGACAGGAAGCGAGAACTCACCCCCCAGAGGGGATGGCCACGCTGCAATCCCTTTTCCTCCATCCTCCTCTCAGGATCATGGGCATGCACGCACATGCGCCCAGGCATGAGTTTAAGCCATCGGGTCCAGGACTCGAACCACAGTCAACTACATGGGAGTCCAGCAACATAGCCATTACACTAACTGCTGGTCCCAGGGGGGTGATTTCTCACTTCCCTTCTCACTGTCTCTGTCTCTCTCTGGTGAGTACACATGCCCTATAGCAAAAACTTTATAAAAAAAAAAAAAGAAAGAAAAAAAAGAAAACCTTCTTGAGGGAGAGGTGAGTCTGCGTGGGCCAGTCCCCATGAGCAGGCTGCTGGGAACAAGCAGACTGCCACAGGTCCCTGTCGCCGTACGCACCTACGTTCCTCCTGGCTTTCTCGACCACGTGTGACACGGCACCAGATGCCAGCCGGATGCCAGCCCCATGCTCCTGGACTTTCCAGCCATCAGACCGTGAGCCAATAACTTTCGTGCTTGACAAAGTCCTGGTGCGGCAGGGGGCCTGGTGGTTGGGGTGCTGGTCCCACATGGCCTACTGTACAGTTTAAGTCCCGGACACGGTGACCTGGGAAACACACCAGGCCCATGCGTGTGCATGCCCGAAACCCTGGAAGGAGGGGGGAGAACAGACTGCGGAGTGGCCACGTCCCGGAGGGGTGCTGCTCATGTTCCCTCTCTCTGCCTGCTCTCAGGTGAGCGCACACACCCTGCAGCCAAGATAAATAAAGGAACAGGACTGCCCAGTGGCAGGCATTTCTGTTTAGAAGCAGCCACGGAGGACGACATACCCACGTCAAGGTTCATTGGTTTCTGATATAAAACGGACATAACACCTGAAACGTCCTCCGTGGGTGCTGGGAGGACTAGATAAGGTAAGGCGTGGACACTCGCTTCTGCCCCTCGGCTCTATCGCTGCTCACACTCGGGCAGTTCTAGCGACTCCCCAGAGGCCGTGAGTAAGCCGCAGCTGCGATCCGCGCCAGGGCCCTTTCTGTTGCCGAGGCGCTGCTGACAATAACGCGGACGAGGAGGGAAAGGCGCTGACACAGACGGGGCCTGCTGCAGTCCAGAGACTGACCTCATGACCGAGCACGCCACAGGAAGACCAGGGAGGCCGGGACACTCCCAGGGTCACACAGACTGACCCGTGTCCCCCTCTGTCCAGCGTACATCATGGTCATGAGGGCTTGCCCTTTGAGGCTCTGACTCCGGAGGCCATAGGTAGGACCCGAGAACAGGCAAATCTTTTCAGGCTTTTGCCATAGGGAGTCTGTGCTCACCAGACAGAGAATGTGAGAAATCACGCCCTGGGGATGGCCACACTGCAACCCCTTCTCCTCCTTCCTGTCAGGATTTGGGGCACACATACACACATGCCCAGCATGAGTTTCAAGCAGCTGGGTCCAAGACTCGAACTGTGGTTCACCATGTGGGAGTCCAATGCTTTAATCACCAAGTCACCTGCTGGTTCCAGAACTTAAATTTTTAGCAGGTTTCCAGGTCCCAGACCATATCTAGACACCCATTCGTCTATGCCAAGCTGCCTTGGCTGGTGAGATCCTCTGTGAGGAGAGGCCTCTCGGGCTGCCAGGAGCTCCCAGGAGAACCCGGGCCACACAGGGCATGCTGAGGGAACGTCTGTGCTAAGCCCGAGGGCCTCGTGACATTCCTGCAGCTCTGTCAATGGGGGCAGACCTCTGTAGGCATGGCTTGTGAGCTCGGGACCAGTGCTCGGTGAGAGTTTTATTATTTATTCACGTGACAGGTAACACTCGCCGGGGCGACAAGACCCCACGCTCCCGGTTTCATGGCTTGCCGTTACACTACAGAACGCCTCTGGGTGCTCGGGAAGCTTCACGGCTGAGGACAGCTGTCACCGCGGGGGGACATTCTGTCCCGAAGAAGAGGCCTGAGTCCAGACCTTCCCTAGGGGTCTCTGTCCCACAGCCCTTCAGAGCCATCACACTCACACGTCAAGCATCGTCAAAACAACAGGAAGCAGCCATGCTGGGAGGGCTGGGCGTTCGACCCGGCAGGTGGCTTACGGCCACAGCGTACCGGACACGTTACGCACATTGCAAATGTATAAATTAAGAGGTCGACGTGTGTACGAAACCTTTTCAAGGGGACGAGTCCCATCTTATGTCATGCCAGGTGTCTGTGAGAGCTTTGAAAACAAAGGCAGTTTTCAAAGAAGCTGGAATTAAAAATAGAAGGTATTTACACGCAGGCCCTGCTCCTCTCCTGTCCATGAAAGCCTCTGGTGTTGTCAGGGCCCCTGGGCAGCCTCAGCACCCCCACAGGCACCCTCTCTGCAGTCTGCAACTTCCGGGAGAGCAGTGGGCTCGGCCCAGGGCTCTTCTCCTGGGTGCCCCCCATCTCGGCCTGGCGGCGCCTGCGAACCCAGGGGCTGCCCGAGGGGGTGACGCTGCTGTCCGAGGAATAATCCATGCACTTGCGAAAGATCTCGGGGCTGGTGCTGGAGTTCAGTCTGCCTTCCTCTGCCAGGGGGGACTTTCTGGAAACTCCTTTGCGTTGGGCCAATGGGCTGCTCCAAGGACTTGAACACGGGGAGGCGTTGGGGCTCAGAAAGAGATTCTGGTGGCCAGAAGGACTAAGCTTATTGGCGGCCACATGCCGCCGGCCAGCCATCGGGGACGTGGGGTTGCTCTCAGGGTCCGAGGAGCTGTTGGCGGAAGACTCGTCGCCCATGTACTGAAGCTCCTCGACTCTCTTGTTCAGGGACTTGTTCAGGTGAACGGTCACAGTGGGCTCCTCGTCATGGTTCTTGTCTCTGGGGGGCTTCTTTTTGGGGGGCTTCAGCCCAATCAGGACAGCCTTCATGCTCTCTTTGCTCTGGGATTCTGTGATCATGAACTCGTGGGCTTTGATGGCCGCTTCCACCTCCTCGAACTCCACAATGGCGCACTCTTGGGTCCCCACCTGGCTGTACCGGCTGCTGATCCTCCGGATGTCGGGGGGCAGCTCCCTCCCGGGCTTGAGGATCCGCACTGACGAGATGACCCCAAAGGTCCCGAAGAGCTTGAGCAGGTGCTCCATCACTTTCTCCTGCACCCGCCCATTCTTCTGGGGGGCGGCCGGGGCCCACAGCCTGGGGGACAGGTGGAGATCGTAGACCAGGAGCATCTTGCTGGGCAGGTTCTCACTGGGGAACAGCGGGACCGGGGTGGTCCTCCTCACCTTCCGGTGGTCCTCATTCAGCTCCAGGGTCACCGAGTGCGTGAGGGCGTGCGCGGTGGTCCTCCAGTCCCGGGTGAGGTGTTTCACCTGAAGAACACAAAGCAGGGCAGTAATGGCTGGTGTCCTGGCCCACCCGCACGCTCAAGAGCACCTCTCCCGAAGGCAGCGCCTCCCTCCAGCAGAGGGCGTGCAGGGTAAGTGGCTGGATCCCACTTGGCAACCGCACATTTCGAGTCCTGGACCCAGCAGCTTGAAAATCAAGCACATGTGCACATATGCGTGTGTACCCAGGGACTGCAGTGTGGCCATCTCTCAGGGGGTGCAGATTCTCTCTTTCTCTCTCTCTCTTCTCTCTCTGGCAAGTGCATGTGTCCTATTGAAAGAAAAGGAAAAAAACTCTCCCTCCTGCCTTCCTTACCCCTGTGACACTGGCCTCTAGACTCCCACCGGGCAGGTGTGTGACTCAGAACCCTGGTTGACGCGTACGTGAATGAACACGCTTTCCACGACTTCCAACACGGCAGCACAGTGGAGGGCAGCCCTGCCCACAGCACGCCGGGACGAGTGCTCGATCCCAGGACGTGTGGAGGTTAGTCCTGCAGGCTCCCAGGCAAGGCTGTGCACGTGGAGAGCCGAGGCCCAGCCCCACTGGCAGCAAGGCCTGGCAAGTTATCCACTCTCTTAGTGCCACGACTTCCCCATCTATAGAGATGCTAACACGCCTGCCTTACCGAGTTGTCATGGGGATTACATAAACACACGCACACACATGTATATATAAAACTCAGAACGGTCTCCAGCTCGGACTTGCGCTATCAATTTCAAACATTCCTTGCAATGTGAACATCTGCACGCCTCTCAGAAGCTGTTGTTATTTCTGCATTTGATATGAGGTTCCAGAAGATCTTTCACATTTGACTGCGGTGTCTCCTGAGCGTGATGCAGGCTGTTTCTACTAGGAAGTCAGTCCAGTTTGGGTCTCACGAAGAATGATGAAATAATCCCTCCCTCCTCCTGCTGGGATGGAAACGGAGTCGTCTGCAGCACATGAAAGCTCTATTTATATTAAAACTGTAATTCTCTAGATGTCCTCCTGCTTCCGGTGGAGAGTGTGCCGGGGGAATTAGTCATCCCAGAGGAGCAGGGGAGACAAGGGGGTGGTGACCTGCACCTGGCATGGCAAGATGGCCCGCCCTGCAGCCAGGTCTGGAACTGCTCGGAAACGGAAACGGAGCCAGGAACTCCAGGTGCTCCCAAGCCTAAGGCAGGACCCTCGGGAAACTCAGAGGAAGTCCCAGCAGAGCCATTAATACAGCGTCCTGCAGAAAAAGCTGTCCCTGAGGCTGTGGCCTGTGGGCCCTCGGGGCAGGAACCATGAGTCACCTACACACAGAATCAGCCACTGACCACTGGCCCAGCCCGAGGGTCGGATTTCGGGGACAGAACTGACTGGGAATCCAGAGGAGGAAGGTGACAGCAGCTCAGCACGGCTGTGGGACAGCGGGCAATGGCTCTCTGTGGGGAAAAGTGGAGCTTTCTTCAAAACAGCCCAACAGGAAACACTGAGGACAGGAGCAGCAGCCACCTGGTCATCCCGAAGCCCGCTGGGGTGCCGGGTGCTGGGGAAGGCGAGGCCCTGCTCCGAGGGTCATAGACGTTTCTGGAGACCACGTCCGATGGAGAGAAGGCAGGCTCGGGTGAGGCTGCACGGCCACGGGGAGGCCCACTGGGGACGCGTGGTGACTGAGCCCCCCAGCTGTGGCCGTGACCCTTAATAAGGCGTGTACAGGCACCACCAGGAAAAGCAAAGGGACCCAGGCGTTTCGGTCCCTGTGCAGTTACTACGAGGACTTCGCAAGACTTTCAGGATCGATGGGATTTCTCTGTCGGCTACTTTGGCCACCCGTTTCGACTGCGACTAATGGAAAGTCCTTTAGAACAAAGGGCTTTTGCTCTGATTCCGGAGGTGATGAATATCTGTCTCTGCTCTGCAGCCGGATTTCGACAGAAGAATGCTTCTAAGTAGGTCCTTAAGCAGCAGCATAAAAAGGAAGGAACACGGGCTGACTTGGAGTCCCTGGAGTATGCAAGACTGGGGCCAGCAGGTGGCATGGTGGTTAAGGCACTGGACTCTTACGTTGCTGACCACAGTTCAAGTCTTGGACTTGCAGCTTGGAAATCACACTGGGCATGTGTGCGTGCCCAAACTCTGGAGAGGAGACTGGAGAAGAGACTGCAGCGTGGCCATCCCCGCGGGGAGTGATTTCTCACTCTCAGTCCCTCTGCCAAGCACATGCATCCTATGGCTAAATAAGTAAATAAATAAATAACAACAACAACAACAAAAACCTTAAAAACAAAAAGGAATGCACAGGTCACTCTCTGGCTGGTTGTTGAGGTCCCGCAGACACTTGCCACGTGAGAACATGCTCACTGCCTGGGCGGGAAACGCCCTGCCCTTCCCCTGTTCCTGTACCCTGAAAGCCCCTCCTCATCTTCCAGGATCCTATTTCAATGTCACCACCTCTGGGAAGACTTCTCAGCTGTCCAGGCAGGGTTAGCTGCTCTGATCGACCAGCTGCCAACGTACACGGTCTTCCTCTTGTCACGCGGTTGAGGGTCACACTGTCATTTTCCACCAATCTCTCTCCTTTATGGGACTGCGAGCTTCTCAAGGGCAGGGGTGCCACATTCATCCTGTACCTCCTGTGCCTACTGCAGCCCTCGGCAGAGAGAACGGATGTGTGAGGAGTGACTGAAGGAAAGAGCAAGGGCTGAGGGCAGTTCACCAGTGGTGGGGCCAAGAAGTGCTCCGGGGAGAAGAGCTCACTTCCCAGTGCTTGCTGACAAAGCCCGGCGACTTGGCCGGGGCCCACTCGTTACGTATCCTGTGTTGCAACAGCTGCATGTGCTTTTCCACTCCAGGGATGCCCCCACGGGAGGCACGGAGTTCTTATTCCAACTGGTCTGTCAGCTCTCTGCGAAGCAGGGGGTTCACAGCCCAGATGCTGCATCTGTCACAGCAGGGACAAGCGGGGTCTGCCCAGATGGCAGTCACTCTTTTTTTTTTTTTGAGAGGTTTTTGCTATAGGGCGTGTACGCTCGCCAGACAGAGACAGAGAGACAGAAAGCGAGAAATCACCCCCACCCCCCCGGGGGGAATGGCCACGCTGCAATCCCTTCTCCTCCATTCTCCTCTCGGGATCTTGGGCACGCATGCACACGCGCCCAGCGTGAGTTTTAAGCCACCAGGTCTGGGACTTGAACGGTGGTCGACTACGTGGGAGTTCAGCGACATAGCCGTTATGCTAACTGCTGGTCCC